TTTCAAAGAAATTCTGTTGTTGGACAACTAGGGAACTTTTCTCCTCCTAGCTGTCCAAAAGTTTGGCATTGCAATTACAGAATCAAATGTCCATTTATAAAGGCTGCATTGCGGCTGTGTCACTTCAGAGATAAATGAGTACATCAGTGCGTTTTCTACAAGGTTCACTTGTTCCTCCCTGACATATCCATCCGGTTTACGTTTTAATTATGTTTTTAAATCTGTCTCACATGCTGTTTTTATTTTAATTATGCAAAACACTGAAATGTTTTGCTGCTGAAATGTGCTACACAAATAAAATTTGATTGATTGATCCATCAATCCTCCAAGAAGCTAAAAACACGTTAGGTTATCTGACTATAAATATATAAATTTTACAGAAGCTTCTTAGCTCATATCCCAGGCTGAAATAGTCCACCTCTATCAGATTTGCACTGAACACGGGGACACTTTAAATCTCTACTGTAAGCACTTTTTCATGAAATGCTGACCTGCACACTTTAAATGCTGTTGTTTTAATGGTTTAAAATGTCCCATATATTTTGTTATTTCTATATTCATTGCATCATTGATGTGTACATTATTTGTTTTTGTTGCTATATTGTTTGTGAAACACTTTGTGCAGCGTGAGTTGTTGAAAATGTTACATAAATGAGCCTGAGCTAAATGTTGTAGCCATTTTGTGTTTCATTTGTTTTTCTGTGTCGGACATTACAGACGCTGGAAACGGCAGGAAAAATCTGTTTTGAATAATGTAGCCTTTAGCTATATTTAGCTTAGCTGCCTCTGGCTTTAAGAAAACGGGACATTTTAGATTTGAGGTTATTTTATGTTACTTAATGGTAAGAATGGAAACGAGAATACCTTTGATGGAGTCAAGCTAACCTTAGTGAACCGTCGGTGATTGAAATACTCAGTGGGATGAACTTTGAACTGTTCAAAACATAGGTGGATTTAGCTAATTGTACACGTAGGCCTGTCTGTGTCAAACAGCTATTCATCTCTGCCCAGAACACAACCAACAGTGAACAGAGGTCTGTTAGACGAGATGACCGGAGCTATTCGGCTGGGTATGTCTGTGTAGGGAACAGTTAGCTGCCCGACCATCTTCTTACAGTGTGTTGTCGGTTAGCACACGCTAGCTTGGATACTGCTTCACTACGCATCAGGCTAGCCCAGGCGACTAGCAACAAAGCTGCATTTCTAAGCTCAGCTTCTTGACATTAACCTGTTTCCATTTCACACAAATAAATCCTTTTCACTCTGCGAACTGCGCTCCAGCTGAGGCAGATGTGATGTAGATCAGAGGGTCATTGATAGGTGACTGTGAAACAAGATGACATCCAGAGGAGAACCAGCACTGACCACCCATGAGTTAAGGATCCAAAGGTTGAGTT